ACGATGATCGGCTCCGACGGTCCAGCAAGATCCGATCAAGGGAGAGCAGAGTCAGCAGAGAAGTAGTGAGTAGTGGTCAATGGCCACTGCCTTCAATGGACACTAATCCGAGCGGCATTTAATAGACTGCTGGCAGTAGTTGCCCTTGTACTGCAGGGCAAAGTGAACAGTAGTGCACCTCAGAGAACAGGGGCTCATGTTTGGCCGCGGAAGGCGCAGACACAGACAGTCCATGTAAGTGCCATTTTGCAACATTCTCGCGTGCAGCAGTCTTTGAATGGACTTGTGTGTGTTGTCCACTTGCAGCCGTTCTACTGTCCACAGCAGCAGCTACACTGAGGCACTGTCTTCAATCTAGCCGATCACTACTTAGGCACCTTTACCGACTGGCCATTTTTCTGCCCATTTGATTTTGCTGGCGGCCTGTTCTAAGTTGCTGACGCTTGAAGCAACAACAGCTCAGTGCAACGAGGCTTAGGCTGATTTTGCCTCAACAAGTAGTAGTATGATTTTATCAAGTCCAATTGGAGCAACAGAAGCAACAGCAGCAACAGGCTTCAGAAGAGTGACAAATCCGTCGGTGCAGAGCTCGATCAATCCTCTGCTACCTCTCTGCTGTTCACTTTGCCTGTGAACTAATTCAATTTAGCCATTTCGACTTTGTTTCCTTCTTTGGTGTTCAGAGTGCGACGACAATTCTGCACCTTCTCCGCTATTGCTGCTGCCCAGTAGCCACACCAACTTGAGACAGCGTTTCACGCCAAAATTGTGCGCATTTTTTAGATGCAAAAACGAGTATGCGTCTCAAAAACAGAAAACGCACACCAAAAAATAATATAAAAACAGACCGGATGCTTTTAATCCATCCATTAGAAGAAGGCGAGTTGACACGCATAAAAATTGGTTTAAAAAGATTGAGCAGAGGCGGCGTTTTGCGACTACTACAACTTCTGCCAGACGGGCAGCAAAACCTGACAAACAGACAAATAAAAGAGAGAAAGAGACGAATCAGATGAAATGAAATGAAATGAAATAACACTGAGAAAGCGGGCGAACGACACACAAAAGTGCCACTCCAAAAAAAGGGAAAATTTTTACCGAAAACGGTGAAAATCATCACGATAAATGCTCACAATTAATGCGTCTGAGTGAAATAAAAAGCAGTCAGTTGGAGAAGGAGAGTGAGCATCATCGAGCAAATCCGAGTCGCTTATTTTCTGGGTCAATGTTCCCTGGCTGACTGGGGCCAACGGCTGACTACTCGGCTACTGCTGTTGCTGTTGCTGCCTCTGCTGCTTTGGCATGCCTTGTCTCGGTCTTTCTCTCAGCGTTCGTTGCCCGATCTTTCACCTTCTCAGCCCAGTTCAATCGCCTCCTCGGTTCGTTCATTGAATGTCCGCTTTTCCGTGTCGCCTTGCACTGAGCAGTGAATTAGTCTGCAGTGAAGGCTTTGTCTTGATGATCACCAAACTCAATGCTAGCAGACCTACCAGCTAATGAAGCGTGCAAAGCGATGCAAAGGCAGGCAGGGAGCGACAAGAGATGCTGTCTGAAGGGTAGGCACAGTGCAGCCCTACTTTGCGGTCGAACTGAAGAGAAAGCCTTGTTGTCTTGGGGCTTGCACTACCACCACCACCACCACTGTCACCACCACCAGCACTGTATTGCATCTCCTCTTTCGGTACATTGATTTCTCCTTTTCTTCCTCGCTCCTTCTCTGGCCGGTAATTGGACAAGCAATGGTGAGCCCTTGCGCACTGCGCTCTTCCTCGACAAGGTGCACAAACTTCCTCATTGAGTCGAGGAGACAAGAGAGAACACCCAGCACCGAGTGCAGCAAACAAACAGCTACTTATTGCGAGCTAAGCAGACACAAGTCAAAACACAAAGGAGTGTGCACGCAACACTGCCAGCATCGTCTGACTGCAACCAGGCGCACTCTATTAGCCATCCATTGACCTGGCATCCATTGGCCCCAGCTGAGCCACACACAAGACCGCAGCATCATCCACAGCATAGGCAGCAGCAACAGAAACTGTGAATGGCATTCTTTGCGGCAATAGGATTGACTCGAATGCACTGGGCGAGCATCGCAGCAGGCAGACAATGCCACCAAATTGGAATCAAGGTGAAGTCTACCAAGTAGATTATCAAGCAAGGTGAGCTCCTCGACACCTCAGCAAGCACCGCCGGCTGCTGAAAAGAGCTGCAGCAGCTAACAACCGTCAAGAACATCAAAAACTAAAACAAAGTCTAGTACAGGAGAAAAAGAAAGAACGAAAGAGGAGAAGAAGAAGAAGAAGAAAGCCTTCAATTAGTGCGCAAGGTGGCAAAAGTGTGTCAACCGAACCAAACCTAAGTGGCCCTGGACTGACAAAGCAAAAGCAAAGCAAAAGACCCAATTTTTGCGGCCCTTCGATGAAGAAAAATGTCAGCTGTCAGGGGGAAATAGTAGTGCTGAGAGTGTCCGCAAACCAGCAACCGCAGTAGTAGTAGTAGTAGTAGTAGTAGCAGCGNGAAAAATGTCAGCTGTCAGGGGGAAATAGTAGTGCTGAGAGTGTCCGCAAACCAGCAACCGCAGTAGTAGTAGTAGTAGTAGCAGCAGCAGTAACCTGTATTTGTGTGTAGTAATCCTTTGCTTTGGCTAAGGTCATCTGATGACGGTTTCATTCAGTCTATTGCGAGCACTCGAGCGCGAGTGAAATGTGCGCTGCCGCCAGCAGCAGAACTGAAGGAGAGAAGAGAGCACTCCATTGGCACTTGGATGAAGCGTTTTGGTCAGTGGGTAAACCAGGCAGGTGCTCAGCTCCTCTCTGCCTTGCGCTCGGCATCCTAATCAAGTTGCCTCTTACTCTGTCGCCCATCCATGCGGCGGCAGTGGCCAGTGCACTCACTGCAGAGGACTCGTGCAGAGCGCGTGGCAAAGCACGTCCTAAGGTGGCCTCATTCGATGGACGGCAGCAGATAGAGGCAGCAACAGCAGCAGCAACAGTCAGACAAACCTCGATGCAAGCGATGGCAATGACGGTCTCTGCGAGTGTCTGTATTTGCATCGATTAATGGTCCTCCTGAGGTACACTGAGGCTGGCCAGGTGCGAGTATGTATGCGCGCAAACTTGGCCCACTTCGTCACTTGATCATTCTTAGCCCTCACTCTCGTACTTAGTTTTTCCGTCCAAATGGCAATGCAAATATAATCTCCCGTAATAATTGCCAGCATCGTAAAATGAAATGTTTGATTGCAATCACCTCAGTGTAATAATTAATAATATAAAATGCATTGTAAGAAGCGAAGTGAGTCTGCCATTGAGTGTGAGAAAAAAAGAAAGAGAGAGAGAGAGAGTCCATTGAGCATTGTTCACGATGACCACTACTACTGCTGACCAGTGCATCAATCGGGGTGCTTAGGAGACGATGCATCAAGTGTATACATGAGCAACTATTAATTTTTTACAAAAACTTGGCAGGCGGACAAATACACACTGACACACTGAAATCTTTCTCTGTAACATATGGGCTAAGTGAAGGTGATCCTAGTAGATGAAAAAAGTGAAACTGACCACAAGTTCAGGTAAGGTAGCAAATAAATCATATCAAAAAGTAATTCACTGCTGACCAGGGACTGACAGAAGCAACGAGCAAGCACCAGCGCAAAAGTAGAGCAACTTCATTAATCATAACTCACAAAAGTGCGCAGTGGTTGTGGTGCAAGTGTGCCTTCACTTGAACACTGACCAAGTGTGAGCTCCGATGAGCACTGGATGGATGGATGGAGAGGGAACACAGGGAAAAATGTGCATCCTTATCACCATCAGCACAGCAGACAGAGGCGACTATAGGAGGAACGTACAGAGGCCGGGCGTCGTGAGTGGTGGGAGGCGAACTGCTGTACTGCACACTGAACACTCAGCTCAGCCAGGCAGAGAAAAAGAGCGAGAGAGAGAGAGAAAGCCGCTCGTTCATGACAACATCATTAACGCCATTCATTAGACCAGCGATGCTCTGAACAACAACAAAATTAAAGTAAAACACAGTCCAGGGGACCAGACACCTGAGGTGCCGTGTGTTTGCAGACTGCTCTCATTCACACCACAAATTGTGCAACTTTCTAATCACCGGTAATAGACAGTGGTCATCGGCGATGGTGGTGATTCCAGGCAAATCAATTATATTAAATTAAAGTTTTTACAATTTAGATCTGTATTTCTAAGTTTGTTAAAAAAAATACTTTAAAGTACTCATCACTTGAAGCTGATATTTTTAAAGTACGAAAAATTTTTGCAACAATAAAAAGAAACGGCCAATAGATTGCACGTGATAGAGACAATAGGGGCCCAGAAGTCAAGTTGACGGCAAACGCAGTCCGACTGACCAACAAAATGGGGACAGAGAAGGACACAGAGTGTTCGTGTGTACGTCTTTCACTTCCTTCCTACCTGAGTGAGGTGATCCCCCCGTGTGCTCGAGAGGAGCTCACTCCAGTCAGTCATTCAGTCGACTAGACAGACTTGACCATTGCCGACTGGAGGCGGAGAGAGTGGCGGTTGAGGGCAAGGCGACAGACAGGTAGATTGCGCACTGAGGGAAGTTGAGGAAGGAGAGAAAAAAAGAAAGAGCGAAAAGAGAACTTCAGCCAGCTTCAGTTCAGTTCGCAGGCAGACACGGCAGAACACGGTCGCACAATCGCACACTTGCACCAGCACCAGCAGCAACAGCCCGCACAGGCTCGCAGTCAGTCTCTTTTTCTGTCTTGATTTGCAGCAACAAGTTCCCATCTGCCACCAGCTAAAAGTGCCCACTCGGAGGGCCCATTGACTCAGTCCCTTTCTGACACTCGACCGGTGCACATCTCCACAATTTTTCTATTTATTTTCTAAACTGTGCACACTGTTAATCATCGGCCTTCGTTAGCTAGTTAAGTTCTGTTAGCTTTGACAACGACAGTGTCATCTCCTTCGTTCTGCATCACCACAAACACACCACCACAGCCAATCGCTTCAATGTCCTTCAACTCGCTGAACACGTCTTCGCACCAGCAGCAGTCGCTGGCCATCAAACGTGAACCCTTCGACTCCTCTGGCAGTGTGGCCATCAAGTTGGAGTCACTTGAGCAATCACCCAGCAAGCACTCCTACCCGGCAATGCATCATCTAGGCGGCAACGGCAACTACTGCAGTAGTCCTAACGATTTGCTCAAGTGCAAGAAGCGCGTCACTAACTTCGCCAAAATGAACTACAGCCCGTCGCCGCACACGCCGCACCAGCCCTCGGTGGCACGTCGCAATGAACGGGAACGAAATCGCGTCAAGATGGTCAACAATGGTTTTGCCACGCTCAGACAGCACGTGCCAAATGGTGCCAAGAACAAGAAGATGAGCAAAGTGGAGACACTTCGATCGGCCGTTGAGTACATTCGACAACTGCAAAAGCTGCTCGGACCTGGCAGCAGTGAGCACAGTTTCTCCCTCGAACAGTAAGTTTTATTTTTATATTTTTATATTTAACTATAAATCACTGTTGATTTTTTTGTGTTTTGAAAAAATCATACACTTTACTTTACTTAAAAATTCTTTACTTAATCTGAACTTATCTTTTACTTTACCAAATAGATTCAGCAATTCCGAAGCTGCTAACAGCAACTCCGGCGATGAAAACTGCTACCCCAGTCCAATGAGCGCCCACCACATGGAGCACTCCTCTCCCCTTGAGTCCTCTGCTGCCGACCACCACCAAATGGAACATCAAATGAACTACAGCAGCGCCGTTTCCAACCTCTACTCCTCAATGGCCGAGTCGATGTACGGTCTGCAGTCACCAACGTCCAGTGAAAACATGTCCACTGGGAAGCTCAACAACACCTACAGTTTGACATCACCTTCAGAACGCATCTCGCCAACCCCTTCAGTGGCCAGCTCTGACATGACTTCTTCTTCGTCGCCCTACGACAATCACCCATTAATGGAGACCAACATCGTCAGCAGACAGCAGACAGTTGCTGTAGCACATGAAGACGAGCTCTTTGACTTTTCCAGTTGGTTCTAACTACGCTAAAGCTGGATAAGTAGTCCGAATGGTTGCCTCCTGTATCTATAATTTGTAATTATAATCATTTTTCTTAACAAATTCTTTTACAAATGTTTTTTGTATATATTTTTTAACAATTTTAAATAAATTGACTTTTATTTTAATTAAGGAAAACATTAGTTCTTTGTCGACATTCAAAGTTCACTGCCTGAAACTCAAATGTGCAGAAAAAGTTTTGTTTACCTGAAGTAGTATAAAGAAACGGCGGCAAAGTTGAATAGGCGACCGCATGAGGCTTGCCACAATGAAGGGACCAAGAAAGAACTCGGTCCCCGTAGAGAAACGGACCATTCTCGAGAGCAATGTCTGCGAGGCCAGTCACCTCACCATTTTGACACACACAGACACACATACACTCGTTCAGAACAGGTTAGGTGCATTGAATGACTAGAAACGCGTGCTAAACTGCAAATATAACATGCTTTGCAAAACAACTGAAATGTGATAACCAAAATAAAATTGAGAAGCATTCTCGCCATTTTGTAGATTTTTATGAACAATGTGAAAAATTCTCGTCAACAAATAAACAATAGTCAGTGCTTCTTTTTTGTTGTTGAAATGGTGTCACCAAATGGCACCAAAAGTAATCTGAGACGAATCTGTCTAATCGTGGAGAGGGTCAGATTAATCGTTAGCCAGCAATGACAAAGACTCAAATTGACTATAATTGGACGCCATAATTGCACGCCGCTGTACTCCTTCTGACTGACCTGAACACAGACAAACACTGATGAGTGCAGCAAAGGAAATAGCTAAACAAGCAGAGTGAGTTGTTCAAGATAAGTGAGCAGTTTTGGCAAGCAAGTTATTTTAGTCAAGTTAAAATCAACTACTTACACATACAACTCCGTGGTTTTGAGAAAAAATCGGTGATCAGGAAGAGCTAAATGGTAAAGTTCACAGACTTTTGTAAAGAAATAACAGACAGTATGGGTCAAAACAAACTTTTCGAGTTAAGAAATTATACTTTACAATGATACTACTGCTCAATTAATTCACTCATGCTGGCCAATCGATTGGGCAGTGGCACAAAGGAAAAAATTGCCGTATTTTAGAAATTAGTACTAAACGCTTCCTTTATCGTGGTACCAATTTGAATAAAAGAAAACGGGCTCAAGATCACTGACACTGTAGCAGACAGACTTTGGAGGCAAAAAACAGGTACGCGTGTCTAATTGAGAGCGTTAGAAAACAAACAAAACTTAAATTGCCTGCAAATGAAATCAACAGTTTGCCAGACTGAAATCTGTTAAAAGCTCCATTTGCGCAAAATGCGCTAAGAGCGAACACAGTGAGCGGGCCAATTATTCAATTGCATTTTTTGCAATTATGCACACCATTTGCCATTCACAAGTGCTGCATCAAGTAGAGAGGAAAAGACAAAACGAAGAAGAATCGAGTTAGAGAATCAACTAAAAAAGCACTGAAAAAAACAGGAAGACAGGCAGGCGGCAAGTGACGGGCCCATGTCTGCCCACACCGAGCAGTCATTTGCCAAATGAATGACACTAATTATGCTGCACAATGCCCATTGCGAGTGAAAGAGAGAAAAGTTTCATCTTTTGCGAACAGTGCAACACTACTCGATAATTGAGAAAATTGTATTAAATTTAAACGCAATTAAGCTGCAGTCAAAGACAAGCAACAAGCTACTCGGGCGACTCGCCTAGTTGTGCTCTCTCCACTGCTATTGACTTTATTGAGCGGGTTCAAACATGATTTTGTTTCTACCAACACACTTAACATGGCCAATTTAATCGTAGCTAATTGATTTGTGTGTGA